ATCTAAGCAAAAGGACCAGAAAGCGTATGTTTTCTGGGTGAATCGCAGGTTGTAATTCTCACACACTGATGCCACAAAGGTATTTCACTCATGGAAGAAAGGGAGAAGTCTCTGAAGTCTGTTGTTCTTTTGGTGTCTAATCGAGGAACCCAACAATTTACTGTTTGATCGATAAACTTTCAATTATTATTCCCATTAACAAATACCCAAAATGTCTTACCCGCATCGCTGGCCTATCACATGGGTAACCTTTAACTGCAACGCCCTGGGACCCTTCCACTAACCATCCATCCATCCATTTTCTTCCGCTTCATCCGTTGCCGGGTCGCAGGGGCAGCAGTCTTAGCAGAGACGCCCACACTTCCCTATCCACGCACACCTCCTCCAGCTCGTCCGGGGGGACCCCAAGGCGTTCCCAGGCCAGCTGAGAGACATAGTCCCTCCAGCGTGTCCTGGGTCTTCCCCGGGGTCTCCTCCCGGTGGGATGTGCCCAAAAAACCTCCCCAGGGAGGTGTCCCTTCCACTATATCCCTTTATATAGAGGAGCAGTAGGTCTACTACTGTCTTTTTGGTGAAAAGACATAGGAGAGGGAGTAACTAGAGAGAGCTATTTTGCTCATGTCACCCGAAAATAGGTATCTTTAAAGTCATCTTGGGATTTTTTCTGGTCAAGGGAAAAGAAGCGAAGTTCAATCTATTTTTGTATATCCCTGAATCAAAACATAGAAGATGCAATTTTAACAAACACATAGAAGCCATTGGCCGGGTGAGGGCGGATGACCAATGTCCGGATCATCACTGTCCTTCGACCCTCCTGCTTCGGTCACAAAAAACTCAAAACCCAAGTTGGAAAAAGTGATACACCTTGGGGAGGCCCATATTGAGAAAGGGATCCACTCACGCCAACGGACAGGTTGTAGATCCAGGACTTCAGGGTGTAGGACAGAGACAGACACGGTGGGGTGCAGGACTGTAGAGGCTCCCAGGCGGGTAAAGGGGGTCCAGCCCATGAGTCTGACTCCATCTTTCCCCAAGCGGCTTTCTCCACCAGCAGCTCGGTTAAGCAGAATGTGGTGACGTGAAATAACATAGCAAAGGCCTGAATTAGTGAAAGCAACCATACGTTTCTGTTGGATTTGATGAAAATTAAAAGTGAATAATTGCAGGGCAGAAGAGGCTCCAAGGGTGTCCAGCCCATTAGTCTGACTCCATCTTTCCTCAAGATACCTGAACTACTCCACTTCAGAAAATACCTCTACACAAGACACTGAGAACCTGTCTGAGAACCATGGCCTCTTTAGTGTATTCTTGTATCGCCCTAAATCACAACAGTAGTTATCTAGGGGGACTTTACAAAACCGTTGAATTTACCAGAGAATCAAACAGTTCAAACCCAAGAAATTTAATGATAGAGCCATTAGCCCATAAGGAACACATGACCAATGTTCATGAATGTCCATAAATGTTGTTGAATTTTGAGATAAAAGCGCTAAAAGCCAGTCTGAATATCTGAATAAATGAGTTTGAATCCTTGATTTAAAAAAAGCCAGAATCAGTGAGCATTTGCATATCAGGGGTGGCTTGTTCCAGAGTCTGGGTCTGGGACTGAGTAGGACCGATCTCCCCAGTGTTTGAACCTGGTCCTTAGTTCTTCCAGAAGGAGCTGAGTTGAGGACCTCAAGGATCTACCCGAGTCACTAACACTCAAGAGTTTGGACAAGTACGGAGGGTGAGACCATTAAGGGCCAAAAGTAACATTTTAAAATCCACTCAAAATGAACCTGGAGCCAATGTAGTGAAAAAAGGACTGGGGTGATGTGTTGACGTCTGGGTGTGTTTGTCCATAAATGTTATTGGATGTTGAGTGTCCTGGATCATCCTCCTTAGGTTTATGTCTGATTATTTTGGAGCTCAGCCTCTTGAACAGTGACAATAGCCGCACAGTCCCTTTGGAGGTTGCACTTGTGATTGATTGCATCAGTACAGTGGAACGAAGGCTGGTGTTCGGCTCTTTTATGGGGGACTGCAGGACTGTGGTGTTACATTTCAATAGATCTGCCCTTGGCCAGATAGATGATAATACTACACAGGCCGTCTCTCTTCACACGCACCGCGACACACAAAAGCGGACAATATGAACTGATGACTTTACAGGGCTCTGGTTTAAAGCGGAGCGTCCAGATGTGACAGATGTGGCAGCGATCCTTCAGGAACATGACAAGATAAGAGCCCAGATGGCTTTCACTGCTAAGAGCGGCTTTCTCCACCAGCAGCTGGGTTAAGCAGAATGTGGTGACGTGAAATACCACAGCAAAGGCCGGAATCAGTGAAAGCAACCGTGCATTTCTTTAATGATTTAATGAAAATTAAACATAAAAATTGATGCCAATTCTGGAACATTTGTTGAAAGACTATTGATTGGTGTTGTTTTGTGAAATCTGACATTATCTGAAGACCTGAACACATTTGTTCTGGGTCAAATAGTTACTACTCTATTAATATCTCCTGAGGACATCTCTATGATGACATTTCTGTATTGACGTTTTTGCACATTTCATATAAAAAGCCCTGGCTCCTTTTCTTCATCTCCATAATAAACCATGGTACAGGTGCAATCGCCGCTGCCTTGTCTTCATTTCTTGACAGTTTCTATTAACTAGACATGAATTAAGAAATTACTTCATGATGACTTCCTGATGGATTCACTACTATTGTAGCCACAACTGCCGAATGATCAAGCAAACACCAAATACATGGTGGCATGGGGCACTTTATAGTCGCAGCCGCCCCACTTTGGAACCTGATGTTCCTAGAGGTCTTCCATCACAATATTAGCCTGGCCTTGCACTGGTTAGAGATCTAAGAAAAAAGTTCCCTATCTCTAATTTACCCATTGTAGGACTGATATGTATGATTCATTCATATTCATGATGGGTTCAGTAATGACCAAAGTACATGTAATCCCAACATTAAAATCATCATAGATACTGCTAACAATTCTAACAATAACTTACAAGACAAACTGATTTATTGATGTTCATGAGTTTTACAGCGAACAGGAACACATCATAAACTCATCCTTAACTCATCATGAACAATCATGGCTCATCATGACACTTTCATAATTTAACAAGTGTAATCATTGAATAAACATGAATTCATGTTTAGTTAAAGCAGGGGTCTCCAACCTATCACTCAGGACCAAAAACTACTTCAGAAAGCTCCTCAAATGATTCATCCATCCATTTTCTTCCCCTTAATCCATTTCTGGGTTGGGGGGGTGGCAGTCAGAGCTGCACCCAGTACACAGAGCACCAGCCCCTCACTGATTCTCCTGCAGGTGGTGAGTCCACAGGAGCCTTGATCTTCCAGCGGGGGCTTAAAGCAAAGTGGGCTTAAGTGTCTTGCCCAAGGACACAACGGCAGCAGACATCAGTGGGGATCATGAAGTAGGTCTTGTGGTGGACTCTCCCGAAAGGATTCAGGAATTCAAAACATGATTTTGAAGGATTCAATTTTGAGTCATTAAAAAACTATGTTTTACCTTACAGTGAATGGTTGCCACAGTCGTTACATAAACTATAGTAAATAGACTGCACCCTCACAACGGAGAAGCTCTCTGGCATTTCTTTTTTATAAAATGTATTGAAAAAGATTTGAACCGCCTGTTTTAAAGTGTTACCCAAAGTTGTTACTGTACAGCAGCAGTTTCTAAAGATTGAAAAACCCCAGGGTGCCCCAATTTCAATTTGAATGGACCAAACCAAGCGCATCAGGCAAAATCCACTGGAGGAATATCAATTGTAAGTAAGTCATCTTTATTTATATACCGCCTTTCACAGACCAGAGTCACAAAGCGGTTTACAATTCCACACAGAGATGGGAGCGCGGTCGCCAGTACAGGAGGCGCATGCCAGACCTATTGTACATGTTTTTAGTAGTAGGGGAAACCGGAGTACCTGGAGGAAACCTAGGCAGACACAGGGAGAAACTGCACACTCCACTCAGAAAGGCCCTGTTCCGACCGAGATTCGAACCCAGGAATTGTAAAACACAAAACAAACGAGCTACTCGGGACTTGTTTCCATTGCTTTCAAAAGTAAACTAAATGAGTGTTAGAACCATCTTAGAGCAAGAAAAAAAGAGGGATTTGAAAGTTAGGTAACCCAGCTTTAACTTGCTATTAGATCAGTTTTTGAGTGTACACTGTTGTTGTATTTGCCTATGCGGATTCCATAGCTATATTTCTGACAGCTCACTTCCCATATCTCCCAGAATGCATAGGTAAACATCCAACCCGCGCGCCGGGCCATGGCCATGTGAGTCCAAGACAGACAGACAGACAGCTATTGGCACAGACATGAGAAAAGCTAGGCACCAACCACACCTGTGATGACTTCATACTTCTCTTTCCTTTTTTGGGATCACTGTAAACACTCTGCTCTCGCTGCTGTGGCTGCTGTCTTGATTTTGTTTACCCTGCTCACCGTCTGTGCGTCTGCCCTGGGCGCGGACTTTTGTCTCCTCTAGAACCCTGGCGTGCGTCTCTCCAAATGACAGCGAGGATTTCACTTTGCCTCAAGCGACGTCACGGCTTTTTTCTTTTTTTTTCTTTTTTCCACCTTCCCCAAAAGAGAAAATACACACACATGCATAGTTGAGAGAGCAGCAGCAGTAGCAGCAGCAGGAGGAGCAGTAGGAGCGAGTTCGTCCTCACCTGTGTGGAATAGCTTTACGCGCGTCAGGGAAGTTGGAGTGTCTTTGGTGAAACTTTTCTCTAAACTTTTTTTTTAATTATTATTTAATTTATACGTGATGATCCATCACAGCGGACCTTTCCTCTATCACTCACCCGGGTTGAGATGCCCATTTTCAGCTGGGATTTCCTCCTGGATGATGCAGAAGGCGCCCATCAAATAAGTTTCGCGGATGCATGTGAGTTGAGGACATCGTGAGAAACCGTGCGTCTCTCAGGAGTGGATTGTTGCAGCGGTTCCAACATGACAGTGCGTCTCTCGCGGATCCAGCTCGCCCTCTTCTTCATCCTGCTTTGCCCCGTGAACATCATCGGGTTGTGGTGGTAAGTTCTGACAGCCACGTGTTGCTCTCACATATCCATACGCGTGCCATTGGAAGTAACGCGTGCGTAAAGTTGCGCGGTTAATCATGTACTTATTTGTTGTTATTGTATGTGGTTAAATATGTTGCTTCTATCTTGTTGGGGGGAGCACTTTGAGTTGCCTTTGTGTATGAACTGTGCTCTACAAATAAACTTGCTGTCTTGCCTTGTTATTTTTAGTTAATATGTGTGGTTAAAAACATGTAGTTATTTTGTAGCTTATACTTTACATAGTATATTGGTCTTTCTTATTGATTTGTTTTGTATTTATTTTCTTGTTTTTAGATGAGGAAATCAGCTTTCTCTAAATGCTATATACAAAAAGCTTGGCGCAATAGCAAGGCAAGGCAAGTTTAATAGTATAGCACAGTTCGTACACAACTCAAAGTGCTGAACTAAACAAGATAGAAGCAACAATACAAGGCATACAAATCATAAATTATCACAGTACAATAAAAAAGTGAAGAGTAAACAGAATTTTACATTGTCAGGGGAGAAGACTGTCTCACATTTTCAGAAGGACTGTTAAATTGTAGCTGCATCCTCCAGTCCAGACCATGGTCCTGACTATGGGCACCAGCAGGAGGCCAGTCCCTATGATCCACACAGATACATGTTTTGTCAATTTTAGGGAATGCCTCTTTTCCGCAGACATCTCGAAACCTCAATGAACTCCGACTTGACAAAACTCATCTGAAGCAAATAGTTTGTTGAATGGGCTTCGGTCCAAAGCCTTGTCAATAAAATAGTACTCAATCTTCCACACACTCAAAATCACATAGTTTTTTTTTATTAGATGAGTTTAATTCTCAAAATGAAAGTACAGAAATGTCACTGGTTTTGTTCTGCATTAAAAAATACCCTTGCAGTAATCCATTAGAATTCCAAATCAATAACATACAATTATTCATTTACTATTTCAGTTATCCTTGACATTGTTATTTGACCACTTTGGGCAAATCTGTTGAGAGTATTTTGGCTCAATCTTCTGTGTGTGACATAAGCATAATGTCGTGTATCTGGGAACAGCATGTGCCCTGACAAGAAGCAATAGTGGATTCAACAAAAGTCTATCGCTCTCAAATTGTCTATATTTCTCTTCATATCATTCAAGCACTTTTATTTTATTGACCAAGTTTTGCGTGATCAGTAAAACTTATAATTAAAAAATGTGTTTAGGTTTTGTGGTCAAGGATCAGTCTCCTGCTTGTTTTGTTAGAATAATAATGTTTTGTAATTAATTAACCACAGCCTTGCATTCTTCTCATTGGATGATTTTTTTTAATACCACCAACATTTTTCACTTACTTGTAGTATTGCTATAAAACAGTATTATCCAGACAAAAGTACAGCTGTACGATCATCTCGTCTCCTCTGTAGATTAAAAGTATATTGTATGATTTTCCCAAATTTTGGAAAGACCCGCCCTCTCTGCTTTTTGAGCAAAACTCTCTGGTTTTATTTGACGAGCACATATCACCAGAATGATTGACAATCGCTCCCAATTACCAATAGTCTTGAGGATCCACCCGGAAGTAGAAAATCCTACCATATACCTTTTGGTTATTTGGTTCTTCTATTCCAGACAATTGCAACAAAGAAATGCCATTGGCAAAGTTATGAGGATGACATGTCAAAGGAATAACATCAATCTCTTATAATTGTCGGCTGTATCAGAAATACAAAACTTAACCTTTAAGTGTCCACTCCTTGAAGAAAGTGTAATGCAATGTATTTTTATTTTTTTGTTTGATTTTCCAAAATATTGGTTCTTGATTTTTTCATTCATTTTCATTTTTTAACCTCTAGCTGTTTAATTATAGGCCTTTTACCAAATTGTTGAGATGCTGTCTGATGTTAAAAAGTGCTTAAAACCTAGTAATAATAGACGTCCCAATGAGGTAGATTTCAGTTCCCAGCTTCAAGTAGATCGTTACTCAAAAATAGATCCACCAAACTGTTGTCTGACCAATAAGGGAAGAAAAATACATCCCCCTCTCCTCATATGGATTGATCTTGATTGTCGATAGTTGAGAAACACAGGCATTTTATTGAGATTTTTTACTCAAAGTTCACACACAAGAAACAGACAACTATGAAGTGAAAGTAAAAGGATAAATGATTCATGTATCGTTCATAACAAGATCATAACAAGACCTTTTATAGTTCTGCGAACACATGTTACTTTGCCAGTGAGATTTGCTGGATGGGGTGAGTTCTGGTGACTCAAAAATGTATCCAGCAAACTGTTTTAATGTTTAATTTTTGTGTTAATGGCTTTGAGTCGCATCAATCCTATTTAATTATTATAACCACAATTGCTTGAAAATGACCCTCAGACGTCCAAAGTCGCCCTGGCTGCTCTGAGGCCAGACTAAACGCTGCGATATTGCGTTCCAGAAGCCGAGAGAGGTGTCTGGCGCTTGTTGCCTGCAGTTATTGGAGAAAGAGGAGCTCCTGGTTTGTGTGTGTGCATGTGTGTGTGTGTGTGTGCCTCTCTAAAATGCACGCCCCTGGATGTGTGTCTGTGTGTGTGTGTGTGTGTGTGTGTGTGTCTATCTATTGGGGGGAGTCAGGAATGTCAGGTGGCCCTCTAGGCGCAGTGGATATGTCATCATAAAACAATCCCTATTGGCTCAACTTTGCAAGCTCTGTGACAGTTGGACAGATAGACAGTGAGATGTTACCGATAACTAAATACTTTTGGGCCACGCGGGCTCCCGTACGCACCCCCTGCCGTCCTGACTTAAATATCATGTGGATTTTTCTCTTCTCACACGCATACGGCTGCGGTGGTTTGAATCAGAGCTTTGTGGTGGGGCTTTTTTTTTTTTTGCCTCTTGTTCTCAGGCGAATCCTCCCACTATCCATTCACAGCACAGTCAAGGTCATTGTGGGTTGTTGGTGTCACCGAGGCTCGGGCCGAAGACACCAGTTCATGCACACACACTTTCAGTTTCGCTCTTTCACACTGCAGGTTAGTCATATATCACACGGCATAATTCAGATACATCCAAACAAATCTCTTTATTTCACAGACGCCTAAAAACCCCAATGAACTCGGACTGGATGAAACTCATCGGGAAGCAAATAGTTTTTTAAATGGTCAATAAAACAGTTCTCAATCTTCCACACACACTGAGTTTTTTGTTAGAAGCGTTTAATTCTCAAAAGGAAAGTACAGAAATGTCACTTGTTTTGGGTTGCATCAGAAATGTTACTATTTCAGTTATCCCTGACATTGCCATTACTAATATTTCAATCATTCAATCAACTTTTTTTCATGTAGCACAGTTCACACAGAATGCAACCCAAAGTGCTTCACATTGGCAACATTTTAAAACCAATTTAAAAACACACTGTAAAAGCAAATACAAAAGACCACTGTGGGAAAATCTATCTATAATCTAAGGCTATGGCTCTAAAATAGTCTATAGACAAAAAAAGACATACAATATTTACTATTTCAGTTATCCCTGACCTCTATAATAATAAAAATAATACATCAAACTTGTATTGAGCTTTCTTGGACACTCAAAGACGCTTCACATGGGGAATAATATACAATAATAAAAAAGGGGTTTACGGAAAAGCTTGTTTGAAAAGATGGGTTTTGAGTACTGATTTAAAGTTTGGTTGTGAGTCAGAGTTTCTAATAGGCAGTGGGAGTGAGTTCCAGAGGGTTGGGGCGGCAATAGCAAAGGCTCTGTCCCCCAAGGTCCGGCGGTTTGTGCGGGTGAGGGGAGTGAGGAGGTTGGAATCGGCTGAGCAAAGGCAGCGGGTGGGTTGGTGCTGTTGTAGGAGCTCAGTAAGGTAGGCCGGGGCCAGGTTATGGAGGGACTTGTAGGTGAGGAGAAGGAGCTTGTAATGGATGCGGTATTGAACGGTGAGCCAGTGGAGCTGCTGGAGGACAGGGGTGATGTGTTCTCTGGACCGGGTGTGGGTGAGGAGGCGGGCTGCAGAGTTCTGGATGTATTGGCCATATGCACGGGGAGGCGTGACGTCATTTCCTGCTAACACAGATCAGCCCGTTCACTTCCTGCCTATGCTATGGCTTTTAGGTGAGTTTTAGTAACGTTTTTTAGTAATTAGATTGATACATTCAGCTGTGAGACTGACCCAAAAGTGTCGCTGTGCTTTCTCTCTGAGGTAGAGCTTTGACTGTGGCCACTCGGAGAGATTTGTTAAAGCTGCACTAACTGACTTTGGGATTTTGAAGCCGCGGACTCGCTGGCCTCGCTCTTTCTGCTCCCCTCCCCGCACCCACGAAGCTATCGCCCCCCACACACACCCACTGTTGGGACGAAGCTAGCGTCTCCCAATATGGATAATACATGGATATGGATTTGCACGTGGATGGCGTGACCATAGAACGATAGAACCGGGAAGCGCGGAGGAACGAGACTTTCTTTTGGATGGCTGTCTCGCTGTGTAAGCAGTAACCGGTGACGAAGAGACAAACCTTCAGGTTAGCTCCGCCGCTTGTTGTGCTAACTCAGCTGTCTGTGCTAACGGAGACCTGTAGATTTCTCACGAAAGTGGGGGCCAGTGGTCCGCGGTGATTGGTCACAATCTGCGACCCGAAACACATTCTCTTCCTTGTTTCATCAAAACTCGATCTAAAATATAATGTCACGCCAGCACAAATCTGCGCTACTTTTTCGTCAAAAGGACGTATATCCCAGTGCACTACATGGACATGGATAGCATTTTCGTAATGAATACAAAAATAAAGTCAGTTAGTGCAGCTTTAACTTTATAAAAACACAATGACAGCACAATCAAAGAGCACTGCTGTGGCCCAAAAATGCCCAGTATCCTCACAGTTTAATTCCCGTTTGAGCATTATTTGGGAAACTTGTGTAAACCACTGCTGAACTCCAGTGAAACTCAAGCCGTTTCCCGCGAACAGGAAGTGAAGTGGGGTTGTAGCTAAAATGTGGAAGTGGTGCGTGCATAGA